GTTTCATGAATATATAAAAATATTTGTCTCAACTGTAATCTTTGTGGAGATAAACTCTATCTTGTGTTGATGGAAGATTTGTGGTATAAACCTTTTCCCTTTCATGAATTTACTAATTTACTAAATTCTATAATAGAGATAGGATTTCTAGTTAATATGATTAATTGCTTCAAGCTATACAAAGTTTGATTACCCTGTATCAGAGGCATCCTAGAGTAAAATGAAGGATTTATAATGTTCTGCATATGGCACCTGACATTACACAAATATTATGAATTTCCAAGTCTGTGACTGTTTGCCTCAAAGTTTGTTAACACCACGGCCCATTTGTAAGTGCAGATGGGAAAAATATGCTTGTGCAAATATGTTTTGCCTTCCCCTTTGGGTAAAGTACGATATTTCAGCAGAATGGAGTTTTCGGGAACCAATGAAACCATACATGATTTAAAGATCGTGGATTTAGTTGATGCTGTAGAAGGGCGCATCAACTTAGTTCTGGACAATGGACAGGTACTTTTCAGGAGGTCGTTTTGGATATTTGGAGGAAATGTTTGATATTTTTTGTACTTCGAAAGGAAACAATGTCTAATTGAGCTGACGATTTTCATTAATTTCAGCTGTATTATTTTCTTAGCACAGTGTGGATAATGCAGCTTGATGGTGTGATATTATGTTTCTGTTCACATGTGATGTAAAACTACAATCTAGTTTGTCTGGAATTGAGCATAAATAACATAGAGCAGAAAACTTGCTACTTTTAGATGTTATGTTACACTACCATAATCTTTTGAGTGATTCTTGAGTTCTATTTTTTTTTCTTCGTATGAATTTCTGACAATTATGATGCTAACTCTTTTTCTTATTTAGAATTACAGGTGTACATTACGACGTAGTCCTTCATCATCTCTAACTAATGATTGTATCACAGCAATGGCTGAGGGGCTGAATTCTAGTTTGTATAATCACTTTCTAGGGCTTTTATGGGGTGATGATGATTCGACTTACTTAGCTATGGTGAATTCTCACGCAGATGCAGAATGGGAGTCCTTCTGTAATGTGATAACAAAAATGTGTCAGAAGCCTAGTAAAACCTCTCAGTCACTACAAGATTCAGTTTCACGTTCTTCTTGGGAGTTTCTTATCAGGAGTCGGTATAATCAGCAATATCTGAAAAGTACTTATCCCTTGCAAGGGTCAGATTCTTCTGATGCCAATTTAGCTGGCACCTGCAATCAAGAGGAAAGCTGTTATCTCAAACTGCTGACTGAAACATTAGATTCGTTGCATGCAGTATACGAAACTCTTAAACTTGACAATCTTCGTAGAAGGTGCTATTCTTTATGCATACATATGTTT